GGGTGCGGGTCGGGGTCCGGGGCGCAGCGGAGGAGCCAGCCGGGCGCGGAGCGAGACTGAGGGCGCGGAGCCCAGCCGCCCGCCACCGAGAGGAGAAGCAGCGGCCCGCGGATCCCCGGCGCGCGGGGTGCGGGACCCCCCCGGCGAAGCAGGAGCCCCGGACGCGGGCGGCGGGCAGCGGGCATCGGGCGGCGGGCAGCGGGCAGCATGCCCCCGCTCCTGGCGCCGCTGCTCTGCCTGGCGCTGCTGCCCGCGCTGGGCGCACGAGGTAGGGCGTCCCCCCGCCAACTCCCCGCGCCTCCGGGAACTTCGGCGGCGCCGCGCGCCCGGGGTGGGAGCGGTGGCCGGGGCGGGGGAGAGGGGACCGCGCGCCCCGGGCGGGGAGGGCGGGAGGGCGCCGCGGGGTCCGGGCTGCGATGCGGAGGGGGCTGCCCCTTCCCGGCCGCCCGCTCCGGGGCCAGGTTGGAGTCGGGGCCGGGGTTGCGGTCGGGGCCGGGGCCGGGGTTGGGGTTGGGGTCGGGATCGGGGGAAGCCCGGAGGCCCGGTCCCGTCTCGCGCCCCCACCAGCTGCGCTGGGGCCGGCCCCGGGCGCGCACTGCCCACCCCTTTTCGATTTGAATCGAGTCGGTTTGGTTTCCTGTTGCTTCGGGGCCATTTATCTTTCTTCTCCGGCTCCGGCCCGCGCCGGAGCGGATGTTGGGGCGCGGGGCGTGGAGTCCGGGTGCCGCACGCCTGGGCGGGGGGCGTCGCGGGGCGCCCGGTGGGCCCGATCCCCCGCCCAGGCGGCAGAGCTCCGCGAAGCCGGGGACAGGGGCGCGGACCGGGATCCCAGGGTCCCGGGCGCCCCCCCCCCCCCGCAGGCCGCTGCCCCGTCCTGGCTCGCAGACAGGTTTTGGGGGGGCGGGCGTGGGGGATTCAGCTGCTCCTGGGGGACTTTCACTTTGGTGTTCAAGTTTGAGACCTTGGCGCGGGGAGGGGCGCTCGTCCATGTCTCCCCTGCGCTGGGAGGGGGTCCCCAGGAGGCTCTGCGATTCATTCAGTTTTCCCAAAAGTTGCAGGAGTTACCTCCCCGCTTCCAGAAGGCAGGGCTCCCCGCCGCTCCCCGGCTTCCGAGGGGCTAGATTTACCCCGCCCTGGGAAGGGGGGGGCGATAACTCCTCTTATGGGGTGAGATCCTGCAAACGGCGGCTCCGTCCTCGGGGCGTGTGGGGGCGCAGCCGGGAGGTGCCCGGGGAGCGGGTATTGGGTGTCCTGGGGCGGGGCCGGTCCCCAGGGCGCAGTCCCGGTGCCCCAGGAGGCGGCCTGGCACCACAATGGGCCGCTCTGATTCCCGGCGGCGGGCGCTTTGTTGGCGGGCGGGGCGGCCGGCCTTGCAGCTGTCGCATTTTCCCACGATCCGGAGCCAAGTGCGCCCCCCCCCCCAGCCCGGTGCTGCCCCCTCGCAGAGCTGTTTGAACAGCAGGACAACCCTGGGGCTGGGGAGGGCCGGCCCAGCCAGGCTCCCGCGAGGACGGGGTGGGGGGCCAGTTTGGGACGGTGCCCGCCCCCCCCCCCCCCGCTGCCCTGGGGCGGCGTTTGGGGTGCCCTGCCCCACGGGGAGCGCCCGTGCACCTGCCGTCCGGCAGCCGCTCCTCCCGCTCCCCGTTTCAGAATGTGGAAGCCCCTTGGGGCTCATGCAGGGGCTCCCTGGGCACCCCCATTACGCAGAAGGGGAGGTGAGGGGTGGGCAGTGGCCGCGGCGTGGCCCCCGGGTGCTGGAGCTGACCTCCCCTCTCGCCCCCCAGGCCTGCGGTGCTCCCAGCCCAGCGAGACCTGCCTGAATGGCGGGAAGTGTGAAGCGCACCCCAACGGCACGGAGGCCTGCGTGTGAGTACACTGCGCCGCAGGCGGGCCGGCTGCTCTGGGGGGGCCTCCTGCTCTGGGGGGGCCTCCTGCTCTGGGGGGGCCTCCTGCTCTGGGGGGACCGGCTGCTCTGGGGGGGGTCCTGCTCTGGGGGGACCGGCTGCTCTGGGGGACCGGCTGCTCTGGGGGGACCGGCTGCTCTGGGGGGACCTCCTGCTCTGGGGGGGGCCTCCTGCTCTGGGGGACCGGCTGCTCTGGGGGGACCTTCTGCTCTGGGGGGCCTCCTGCTCTGGGGGGGTCCTGCTCTGGGGGGACCGGCTGCTCTGGGGGGACCGGCTGCTCTGGGGGGACCTCCTGCTCTGGGGGGACCTGTTGCTCTGGGGGGACCAGCTGCTCTGGGGGGACCTGTTGCTCTGGGGGGACCGGCTGCTCTGAGGGGACCTGTTGCTCTGAGGGGACCGGCTGCTCTGGGGAGACCGGCTGCTCTGGGGGGACCGGCTGCTCTGGGGGACAGGCTGCTCTGGGGGACCGGCTGCTCTGGGGGGACCTGTTGCTCTGGGGAACTGGCTGCTCTGGGGGGACCGGCTGCTCTGGGGAACTGGCTGCTCTGGGGGACCGGCTGCTCTGGGGGGACCGCTGCTCTGGGGGACCGGCTGCTCTGGGGGGACCTGTTGCTCTGGGGGACCGGCTGCTCTGGGGGACCGGCTGCTCTGGGGGGACCTGTTGCTCTGGGGGGACCTGTTGCTCTGAGGGGACCTGTTGCTCTGGGGGGACCGGCTGCTCTGGGGGACCGGCTGCTCTGGGGGGACCTGTTGCTCTGGGGGGACCGGCTGCTCTGGGGGGACCGGCTGCTCTGGGGGACCCGCTGCTCTGGGGGACCCGCTGCTCTGGAGGGACCGGCTGCTCTGGGGGGACCGGCTGCTCTGGGGGAGCGGCTGCTCTGGGGGGACCGGCTGCTCTGGGGGACTGGCTGCTCTGGGGGACCCGCTGCTCTGGGGGGACCGGCTGCTCTGGGGGACCGGCTGCTCTGGGGGGACCGGCTGCTCTGGGGGACCGGCTGCTCTGGGGGGACCGGCTGCTCTGGGGGGACCCGCTGCTCTGGGGGGACCGGCTGCTCTGGGGGACCGGCTGCTCTGGGGGACCGGCTGCTCTGTGGCGGAGGGAGCCCGGCCCGGCCTGGCGGGTGACGGGCGGCAGGGACAGAACACTGGGCCATTGTCTCCGGAGATGGCCCAGGAGCCGGGCGCGGTCACGTGCTGCTCTTACTGGGCAGAGTCTGGCAATCCCTTCATCAGCCCGGTTACGTGCGTGTGGAGCTGGCCCGGCCCGGGAGGGTCCGGCACCCCCTGTGGGCCGCCGGGCTCCGGGTGCTGAGGGAGAACTCCCGGTGCCCCAGTTCTCCCAGCGTCCTCAGAGACAATCGGCCTGCCGGGAGACTGCGGGCCATTTTAGAGGGCCCCCCGCCCCCGCCAGCCCAGGGGCACCGGGCAGGTGAGCGCCCGCTCGGCTCCCGCTCCTCCTGGCAGGCCGCGCCTCTCGGCAAGAAACGGGCTATTTCACGGCCAAACCCACCCTCCGCCCGCGTGCTCCTCCGGCCTCAGGTGGGGCCTCAGGTGCGCCGGCCGGGGGACAGAAGTTGGAACCAGTGGGCAGTAGCGGCCGTGCCCATTTCTTCTGGTTTTGGGGGGTGGGGTACCTACTGGACGTGTGGTTTCTGTCCTGGCATCCGCGGCTCTACACCGACCCCCAACCGCCTGGCCCCTCACCCTCCGAGTCTTGGGTCCCCGTCCCAGCCCCCGGTCCCCCCGCTGTGCACCGAGCTCATGCTGGGGAGGGGGGTGCCCGCCCGCCTGCCCGCCTGGGAGTCCCCGCCAGCCTTGGGGACGCTCTCCTTGTGCCCTTCAACTTGAATGCGTCCCTGACGGGAATAATGAGGAGGCGCTGGCGGGGCAGGGAGGCCTCCTCCCCGGAGGCCGCGCGGCAGCGGCCGCCGTCCCGCCATCCATCGGGGCTCCCTCATTCCAGGGGCCCGGGGCCCATTCCCCTGACAACCCCGCCGCCCCTCGCCCCCGCCTGCACGGGGCCAATTAGGGGCCTGTGAGCAGTTGCCGGACAAAGGGGATTGTGTTTGTGGGACGCTAATGAATGCGCACCACTTTTTTTCCCTTTTGCTTTTGGGGCCTTTCTTTCCCCTCTCGCCGACGCGTGATGCCCTAAATCTCGTTTCCCTTCATTCAGGGCCGACAGCTGGGACCCCGCGGACGTGCAGGGGCTATTGTCGGGGGAGGCGGATTAATGCCGTGTGATTAATTATGCGTGGCTTCCCAGAATGCACCGCTCTTCCCGCCAGCCCGCGCAGGCATGGGGGGGGGGTCCTCCGTGCTTCTGCAGAGGGTTTGGGGCAGGCGGGAGGGTGCTGAGCCGGGCAGCGTGGGGGCCGGGTCTCCTCAGTGCCACCGGGAGCGGGGACGGCATGGCCTGGGGGAGGCCGAGGGCGCCCTGGCCGACGCCGGTGCCACCCGCTGCCCCGGCCGGAATGGGTGCCTGGGGATCCGGCTGCCGCCGCCGCGCACCGGCCTCAGGGTGAGGCGTGAGGGACGGAGCGACAGTGCGATGGGCCTCCTCCCCCGAGCCCGGCGCCCGGGGAGCCCTGCCAGCCGGAGCCGGCCTGTGGGCCCGGGCCTGGTGCCCCTCCTTGGCGGGAAGCCCGCCTCGGTCTGGCCTGGCACTGGGCCGAGCGGCCCACAGAGACCCCATTGTGCACACCCGCAGACCCACTCGGAAGAGGAGCGGAAGCATCCTCAGGCCCTGCCTCTGGGCAGGCCGGGCGGGAGGGGAGACCAGGCCAGGGCGGCCCGCCGGGCCAGCTGTGAGGCCGGCGTGGCCGCTCGCCCCGCCCCCCGCGGCTCCCTGGGGGCGCTCCCTGTGCCCCGCCGGCCGGCCCCGGGAATTCTGCCTGTGCCGGTTTACGGACAGCGCGTGGGAAAGAGCGGGTCACAGAGCCAGACACGTCTGTACCTGGTGAATCACCGTCTCCACCCCAGCGGGAGGGACCGCCCCCGAGGCCGCGTCAGGTGCCGGGGGGAGCGAGCCGCCGTGCAGACGCGTCCCAGGAAGGCCCCCGGGAGGACGGGGCCCTCTGCACACGCTGTGTGCGGCCCAGGGAGGGTCACTGCCCCCCGGAGCCGGTGCGTGGTGCTGAGGGGGTGCTGATGTGGGCTCCCCCTTTTAGTTTTACTGGTTTCAGAGAGGAAAGGGGGGGGAGAGAAACATCAGTGATGAGAGAGAATCATGGACCGGCTGCCTCCTGCACTCCCCCCACCGGGGATGGAGCCTGCAACCTGGGCCTGTGCCCTGCGAGGGCACCCTGAGGCCCTAAACAGGCGTCTTCAAACTACGGCCCGCGGGCCCCATGCGGCCCGCAGAGGAGTCTGATCCGGCCCGCCAGGTCTTTTGGGCAGTGAGCGCAGCCGAGGTGTTACAGTAGGAATTAGTAGTTCATATAGTCCGGCTCTCTGAGGGACCGTGATCTGGCCCCCACTTTAAACAGTTTGAGGACCCCTGCAAGAGGACGCTCCCCCGGCCTGTGTGAAAGTCAGGGGATCACAGCAGCGGCCAGCCCGGAGCCCGGAGCCGGGGGCAGCGGCCGGCGGGCGGGCGGGCGGGCGGGGGCCTGCAGCCCCGGGCCCTCCTGGTTGGGTCGCAGGGCCAGCTGACCTCTGACCCCTCCGGGACGAGGTCTCCCAGCTGCCTCTCGTGGGTAAGGCGCACGCCCCGGCCCCGGGCGGCCCTTTCTCCGCCTTCTCCTTTCGAGCTGACGGCGCGGTTTCGGGATCCTCCTTCTCCGCGTTGAGTTGGCTAATGTGTCGGTTTGGACAGCACGGGAGGGGCTGCCCGGGGGCCGGCCAGCACCGCCTGGGGAGGAGGTAGTGGCCACGACGCTCCACGCGGCTCCCTCGCCTCCGTCTGTGCCCGCCGTGTGCCGGGTCTGCTCGCACGGGCACGCCGGCTCCGGGAACCGCTCTCCTGAGCGCGGGCAGGGGGGCGCTCCCGTGCGGTGGCCGGCGGAGGTGAGCGTGGAGCTGGGGCAGCCCAGGCCCGGGAGAGCGAGAGGCACAGAGAGGCTGCGCGCGGCCCTGGGGTCACACAGCCCGGCTTGTCCAGCCGCCCCTTCGGCTGCCGCCCGGTCCTCCCGGCCCCTCCTGCCGCCGCCCCATCCTCCCGGCCCCTTCGGCCGCCGCCCGGTCCTCCCGGCCCCTCCCGCCGCCGCCCGGTCCTCCCGGCCCCTTCAGCTGCCGCCCGGTCCTCCCGGCTCCTCCTGCCGCCCGGTCCTCCCGGCCCCTCCTGCCGCCGCCCGGTCCTCCCGGCCCCTCCTGCCGCCGCCCGGTCCTCCCGGCCCCTCCTGCCGCCGCCCGGTCCTCCCGGCCCCTCCTGCCGCCGCCCGGTCCTCCCGGCCCCTCCTGCCGCCCCGTCCTCCCGGCCCCTCCCGCCGCCGCCCCGTCCTCCCGGCCCCTCCTGCCGCCGCCCCGTCCTCCCGGCCCCTCCTGCCACCGCCCCGTCCTCCCGGCCCCTTCGGCCGCCGCCCGGTCCTCCCGGCCCCTCCCGCCGCCGCCCAGTCCTCCCGGCCCCTCCTGCCGCCCCGTCCGCCCGGCCCCTCCCGCCGCCCCGTCCGCCCGGCCCCTCCTGCCGCCGCCCGGTCCTCCCGGCACCTCCTGCCGCCCCGTCCGCCCGGCCCCTCCCGCCGCCCCGTCCGCCCGGCCCCTCCCGCCGCCCCGTCCTCCCGGCCCCTCCTGCCGCCGCCCGGTCCTCCCGGCCCCTTCAGCTGCCGCCCGGTCCTCCCGGCCCCTCCTCCTGCCGCCCCGTCCGCCCGGCCCCTCCTGCCGCCGCCCGGTCCTCCCGGCCCCTCCTGCCGCCGCCCGGTCCTCCCGGCACCTCCTGCCGCCCCGTCCGCCCGGCCCCTCCCGCCGCCCCGTCCGCCCGGCCCCTCCTGCCGCCGCCCGGTCCTCCCGGCCCCTCCTGCCGCC